TTAAAATTTATAATAAATATATTATATTATAGTAAAATATTATTTTTATTTATTTATAATTTATTTTAAAATATTGATTTTCTTGCTCCATGGACAAAGAAATATTAAAATTTAATTTTTAAATAATTATGATAAATAAAAGTTGAATTAGATAAAATGTGAAAAAACAATTATCAAAACTTTCTAAAAAAATTCTTAAAATTACTTTCAAAGTTTAAGGTATTGTGTTTATAAGACTAATTAATTTTTAATATTATTTTTTTATCATTTAAAAATTTTAAGATAAAATTATCTAAAAATGTGTACATCAAATTAGACTATTACCTTTATTTGTGTTATAGATAACATGATTAAATTTATAATAAAATTATGCATAAAAAATGCAATATTTGAATATATAAATTATATTTAAGATTAATATACATAAATATTTTAAAAATATAAATTATATTTTAGATTTATGATCAATAATTTGTATTATACAAAAAATGCTATATTTTATTTATTGATAATTTATTTAAAAATAATAATATTTAGTTCATAAATAATTCTAATAAATAAGAAGCGAATCATATAAGAAGTTTAAAAAAAATTCTAAATTTTTTCATTAAAGAAAAATTCTTAAAAATATCATCGTAAAATATAAGGATTTATATTTAATATATAAAAGTTGATATAAACAATTTAATTACCTTCTAATTATTATTCAATTTTAAAACAATTTAACATAAATTTATAAAGTAACATGAAATCAGAATTCAACGGTGAAATAGACAAAACTTACTTTTAACAAAGGTATTTAGTGAATTAACTTAATTATTTGAAGAAGGTAAAGTTGTTGTAATCCCTTGTAAGAGAGTTGGATTGTTACATAAAAAAATGGTAACCGTATCAAGTATCTATGACTTGTGTTTATATAATATATGTACATGTACAAAACCAAAGCAAGCTTAATGAAAAGCTTATTGGTAAGACTCTCCAGATGACATTCTATGTGCAGGTTAGAGCTTGTAAACATGAAGGAAATACGCAGTCAAGCAAAAGTGATGGGAACCTTGGTAACCTTTGCTGGAGCTTTGTTAATGACACTTTACAAAGGCCCTCAATTTGACCTATTTCATCATCCAAAAACAACCCCCCACCAAGGTGGAGTACACTCCCATCAGAATCAGAGTCACTCACACTGGGTCACAGGGACCCTCTTCATATGCCTTGGTTGTTTGGCTTGGTCTTCCTTCTACATATTGCAGGTACGTAATTCATGCATTAATTATTACAAATCATCATTCAATCACACTATAAAACGCTTTTATTGTTATATAAAAGTCAACAAACTTATGGTACATTATAATTTGTGATCAGATAACATTATAAAATAATGACAGTGGAAAAATAAAAATAAAAAAAATAAGAACCAGTTTAATTTGATTCTAAGAACGTTTGATTTGGAGACGGTGTCATAATTGTTTTGGTCTGATGTGAACGTGTAATTGTGCAGTCCATAACGGTGAAAAGGTACCCTGCGGAACTATCGCTGTCATCGTTGATATGCTTGATGGGTGCACTGCAAAGTGCTGTTGTTGCGTTGATAGCAGATCATAACCCTCGGGCATGGGCTATTGGTTTCGACTACACGCTCTATGGCCCTCTATACACTGTTAGTGCCACAATTTGTTTTTTTATTTATTTATTATTCTCTAGTTGTAAATTACACACAAACAAAAAAAAAATTATACAAAATTTGTGAATGTTGAAAAAAAAAATTGTTGTTTGAAATCTTAGAAGTTTCTCTTGTGACACTAACAAATATCAAAATTGCAAGGAGTAATGAGGGTTTTTCTTTTCCTTTGTTATTATAGGGAGTAATGAGTTCAGGAATAGCATACTATATACAAGGATTGGTGATGCAAAGCAGAGGCCCAGTGTTTGTTACATCCTTTAATCCTCTTTGCATGATTATTGTTACTGCTTTGGGTTCCCTCCTTCTAGGAGAACACCTCTACCTGGGAAGGTAACTTACTATTTTGTTGCTATATATATATATATGGGCCCTCTCCACACTTTTATTTTATTTTATTTCTTTTTTCCTTTTATTAATTGCTTTGATTCAAACTTGTATTATATATATTTACTCTTTTGCTACAATTATTAGATGGTACATTTCAACAAATCACTGCTAATATTTATTTATACAGACAATCTTTTACATGCAGCATCCTGCAATATATAGTATATGCCCATATTAAATTCTTTTTTTACTCAAACAGCTGTCGGCCATCTTTTCTCAGTTTAATTCGTCATTCTTGTATGCAATTGTCTCCTTCGAAAAGCAAAAATGGTCGAGTAATTGTCAATTGTACTTTTTCAATATATACATTATAGAACTCTATCTTACACCTTATCTCATTATTTGTTATCCACTTCAACTCCTCAAACTTATCCACAATATATATACTCGTCTATGTACATTATAATAATAGCAACAAGATTTAAACTTATATTCTATCTATACTACTCTAATTCTCATCAATCACTACAATTTGTTTGATTTTGTATGAAAATATTTTTAAGCAAAATATATCGTTATAGTCTTTTATCATATTTTTTTAAAATTAAAAACATGACAACCTACACCAATACTAAACCATGTGTTTACGGTAAATAGAAATAGAGAATTATGTTTTCATATTTATATATATATATATATATATATATATATATATATTTATTATATGATTGATGACTAAGCAGCAACGGTTATACTACCAATTAATTACAGTTTATCCATAGCATGATATTTTACTAGTTATTTATTGTAAAATTAATAACCTTGTTATCATGGTTTATAATTAGATCGGTATTTTTCTTATGATATACACATGCACGTGGATTATTTATACATATAATGATATATCTCTCTGAATGTCATGTATCTGGTTTATTAATTTTCTGAAAGATGCCTTTTCTGGATTCAATGATGACAGTATCATTGGAGGCATTATTATCGCAGTGGGTCTTTACGCAGTGGTATGGGGTAAAGGCAAAGACTATGGAGGTGATGCTTCGCCATCAGCAACAACAACAAAAGAAACAGAAACGTTGCAGTTGCCAATTTCCTCACCAATTAATAAATGACAAGAAGTGTGTTAACATAAAGCAAGTTCGTTCGTTCGTTCGACTTATGTTGGCAGAAGTGACTGATATGATGGCAAAATATGCAAATCATATAGTGATTTGTGCTTGTGTACGTGGGCACTATATCTAGCCATGTTAAGTTGAAACCACGACTTCGTTACGCTATTCGCTTGAGTTATTTAATACTCAATTAATGTTAGAAAAGTGTTTTGTCATCGTTGAAATATTATACCAAAAAGTTAAACAAGGCGTCTCCTTCTAGTATTTAGTTACGTAAAACATTCGCCCTAATTACGTATTGAATCTCATTCCTTTTACACCAACTCGTTCTGATCCGATCCATTTGTAAAAGATTATGGAATTCTCGATCTGATTTCCATTTGCAAGACATAGATCACGGAAAACGCAATAATGCATCGAAATTGTTGTTCTTATTTCAACTTTCCTAAAGAGAAAAAGGAACCACATGCACGTGATTGTCACATCCACGTTCTCCTCGCACATTACATAAATTAAAATACAATAAACCTTAATAATATACTTCTTTCTTATTAAAATAGGATGAAATATCAACATTTCTGAACTTTTATTTTTAGTTATGGATTTTTTTTTACTATTTTTACTTTTCTAAATTTTGGTCGATTTTCTCTTTTACTTATTAAATTTTTTCTTTCGTTAAAAGCTTGCTTCTTGGTGTCAACTTTTTTGTTCATAGAGAAAATTTTCAAAGACTAAAAATAAAAAATAACAAAAATTTATGACTAAAAATATACTTAATCATACATAAATATAAGAAGAATTAGTTAGTTTATATGCTATTTTCAATTAGAAATAAACTTTTTCATCTATATTGTCTTTCATTAGAATTTAATATGAAAAATATTTTAAAAAAATATTGAAAATAAAATCTCAACTACAAGGACAAGGACAAAACTAGATTATAGAAGGGCCGAATATAAAAATTAATATTCATCTAATAAATATACAAATAATAAATTTTATATGCAATATTTACGATCATGCATTTCTAAAGACAACTTTAAAGCATATAATACAAATATACATTTACATAAATAAAAGGTCAATATTTTTTAATAACCAATTAATATTACAAATATCAATTAATTTTTTCACGTCATCTTAATTAACCTTCATGAAATTATAATAAAAATTCATGTGAAATTTTTTACAATGACAAAAACAATAAAAAATAAATAAATAATGAAGAATAGCCATAAAGATTTATTAGTCAATATGTTTCAAAGTTTAAGTTGTAAATAGTTTACAAAATATTCATAACTTTATCATTTGCATATAAGTTAAAAATATATAGTCTTTTATGTTACATAGTCTTATTGATAGATCCTTCTATTTGTATCATGACTTTGATTTTGATATATATATATATATATATATATATATTAATTATAAAGACATGCCAATGATTATGTTATTAATTATAATATAACATAGTAATGTCTTTAGAATAATTGATTTGTTCCAAGTTGAATAAAGTATAACTTAACAATGAGATTTTATTGAAACAAAGGAACATTATTTTAAAAGTATTTATAATCAAGTATTCTTATTGACTAAGAAGAAATAATACATTGAGATTATTGTTGAATTGATTGGTGACCACATCTCATAAGTTATAGAAATAAGATATCAAGTCAAACATACAATATAAATATTAGGAGTAATATTTATATTGGAAGAATCCACTATGAGAAGATTTAATAATAGTTATGCAAGTGTCATAAACATTTCTTACAGTGATTATAGTTAAGCAGTTATTCGATATGAAGTTACTACCATTCCTACATATAGGAGTTATTGAATTTGGTGTTATCAAACCTTACCATAACAAGGTAATTATAAAGATAGTTAATTAGGTTTACAATGAATCATGTGGAGGGATCTCAATGATGTAAATAGGATTTGTCTATCTTGCATAACAAAAGTTATACCTCGGATCTTTTGTTAGAGTGAGACGTGAAATGTGTAGCTATATGAGAATGAACCAATATGAGATATTAGACCAATTTAATGTCTATTTGGGTATCAAAAATATATGACTGGACTTAATGAGGATGATATTATTATGTTTCGTGTTCAATAAAAAAAATTAAATATGATTACTTAAATGAACAAATTATTGGAATTGTATTATACAAATCCAATAAGGAAGCAAATTAGGTTAACATATTTTATAAGTAAAGAGGTTAATCTAATCTTGTCATCCATGTAAAAAGCCTAGAGAGAAACTCTTAGACTTTTCTATCATCTCACAAAACTCATACCTATTCTCTCAAAGACAATTTTTGTAGTGAGTTGATATATATCTGAGTATAAAGAGTTAATGTAAAAATATAAAAAAAATAATAATAAAGTAAAATAAAATAACTTTAAAACATATAGCATATCAAAATATAATTTTGAAACATATATTTATACTAACATATTAAAATAGAAAATATTTATTTTGAACATATATTAAGAACAATTAAATAATTTTAAATTACATGCACATGCATGTAAAGGTATATGCTTTCTTGTCAATTGACACAATGACTAAACATAGTGTGCTTATAAATATACTAGTGTATATGACACTTTTTATGATGGATAAAAAAAATTATCTCAATTTTAGACACATCATAGTTGTTGGCGACGTAAAAAATCTTGACTTTTTATGTTAGTTATAAAAATAATGGACATAAAATGATTTGACTTTTTATGTTAGTTATACAAATAATCGGCATAAAAAATTATCTTTTTAGGTAAACAAATGCTTCTCTGTTGTGCTCTTTCTCTCTCGTTGCATCTTTTTGTATTTCGTCGCGATGTTGCTCTTTCCTTCTCGTTGTCACATCTTTTAGCATTTTATTGTTGCACTCTTTTTCTCTTGTTACATCTCTTCATGTTTTGTCACCATGCTCTTTCTCTCTTGTATCTTGTTGCGTTTTATTGTCATGCTTTTTCTCTCTCGTTGTATCTCTTCACATTTCTCATTTTCTGTCTCGTTCTCACATATTCTTTTGTGGCCACCACATTTTACATTTCAACACCACCATGTTTACTTCTAAAGCACCATATTATCAATATTTAAACAATAACAACAGAAAACACAAAATAATAAAAGAAAAAAAATAATAACTTGGATGCGCAAGAAGAAGAATAACGAAGAAAATAAAATAAAACAAAAAACAAGAGTCTAGCACACAAATTATGTTTTTAATTTGAAATTTTAAAGTACTTTATATGTCCAGTGTTGTTTCATTTGACATAAAAAGTTCTTTCTTTGTCGGATGTCATTACACTTATCATAGAAAGGTTGGGATCAATAACTTCAAAGATAACCCTTCCCAACACAATCTATGATTGGCGTAATGACACTCAACATAAAAAGAACTTTCTATGGGTGAAACAACACCTAACATAAGAAATTTTTTGTATTTATAACTTTATCGTAGCGTCACTTTCTATGTTATGTGAATTATACTCAACATACAGTCTCTATCATAAAATGTTCTTTTTGCACTAGTGATGGTGGGAACAATCTATCTAATGAGTCTTACATTCTACTACATGCAAAAAAATATTTTCAATTTGCTACACTCACAATATCATGAATGAAATTATTCCTTAACCAAGTGGGCTGAAGATACCTGTGACATGAGAAAAAAAATACCTAGCTCCCTACCTTGTTAATAAGTTAGTAGAGTCATTTATTTTATTGATAAGTATCAATTAAATTATATGTTTTTAATCTTTAATAAAAAAATTATTTTTAGATATGCTCAATACAATTTTTTTCCCATAATTATAGGAAGTACATCTAATTATCTAACAAAAAAAATTTCAAATTAGATCACTCGGCTAGACCCAACCCATCACAAAAGATTAACCAACCCAATCTGCTCCACTTTTGAGTGAGCCTATAAAAAAATGAATTTGACCTGACTTATCATGGATTAACTCACTTAAATTAAAAGAAAACTGATTAAACTTAATAAAAACATTTATTATAATCTTATATCTTAGAATTACAATCATATTAAAAATGAGATAACAAAAATATAAAAAATAAATAAATTAGTTAACCACTATCAATTTAATCAACTTATAACATCAAAATAATGACATAAATATTAAAAAAATAATATTTATTTGACTTTAATTATCTTAATTCGTAACTAGTGTGTATAGAATTTAGCCAACAATATAAATATATAATCACAAAAGTTAATATTTTGAAACAAACAATAAAAAAATTAGGTGGATTAACTGAAGCCAAATTGTAAGTAGTTCGGGTCAAACTTTTTCCTTATAATAAAAATGATTAAAAATAATAGTCTCTCGTTATTCATTTTGTCGGATAAATATCTCTTTCGTACTTATTCTCGTATCTGTGTAGATATCCGTTAAGTGATTATATGCGTATTTTTTAAATATTCGTAGATATCCGCATATATCCATAAATATTTGTTTTAAAATAAATAAATAATTTTTCAAAGTTTTTTTTTTTTTTGACATCTCTAGTGAGAAGAGAATTGATTCTACAACAGCAAATCAATGGATCATCCTGCCCAAATTATTCCAATCCGCGTGCAAATTACTACTCAGGAACTAGGAAGTCAGCCATCTTTATGTTTGTTCAGATTCTATTCTCCAAGATTCTTCTGGGCCGGGCCGCATTCATTAATATTCTCAATACTCATAATCGAAAACAAAGAAGCCATATCATATGAAGATACGAACTATTTAATGAATCGAAATTACATATCCTCATGAATCGGGGTATCAATGTCATCAAATCAGATACCCCTCTACTTCCTCCTCTGTATTAGCCGTTTATCATTTGATGCTATTCCTAGAAATTCAATCACTCAGTACTACATCACCTAATATTGCTACAATTACAGCTTACAAGTACGTCATATTTCCATTTGATTAATGCGGATTTGCACGCACTATGTGCTTTATTTAAAGCTGAATCATATTCTAATTATTTTCATAGTGGTTTAGCATGGTATATGCCATTAGTAAAGGTTCCCCTTCCCACAATTTTTGTAACCTAATAAGGAATAACAGTTGTACTACGTCTTATCCAAGAATATGTTACGTTCATTAAACATGCATGGTAGTGGTACCGTGTTTTGTTCCCACGTGGTTCTTCATTCTTGGAAAGTAGTCCTAGGCTGTTGCCTGTTGTCCTGTATTAATCTGAATGCAAGTATAAAAGCTGGCACCAAAATGTATCTTTCCTTTTATAGAGTTAGGATTCAGAGGATCTACATGGCATGCATAACACATGTAACGGTACTTGGGAAGACTCATATCATGTCTATTGTCTAGTTTCCTTTTATTCTATTATTTTATTATTTCCTTTTTATTTTTATTTTTAGTAGATTATATAAGGTTTTAAGCTCTTTAAGCTTTTCTTTCTTCTTTTTATTCTTGTTACCAGACATTATACTTTCATATGCATTGATTTCTTTTCTTTATATAGGTGATAATAATCATCAAGAATATTAATTTTTAATCATAAATAAAAAAATTATAATAAATCAAACTTAAATTTATACACTTTAATTCACAACTAGACCAATTTTATTGATTTTAATTATTATTAAATGGTTGAATTTTTTTTTTAAAAATTTCCTTTGCCAATAGGATTGAAATTTTGCGAATCTTCAGCTACACGTTGTAATTGAATTCTTGATGTTTGACAAATCAGTTTTTATGCAAATTTCAAAGTTGATTCTCTTCATTCTTAAAAAGACATCGAGTTCGATTCTCAAAAAAAAAAAAAAAAAGACTTCTTAAACTCGTCATATTTTCGTGGCATTAAAAAAAACTTTGTAATTAATTAATGTCCTCTCATACTTGTTCTCGATAGATATTGGATCAAAAGTTCTATACAATTTCAATTGGAGATTTTTGGTACATAATTTCAGTTAGAGGTTAAATTTGAAAGACCAATTTTGTAAGAATTTTGTCAGTTTGTGTGTGTGTGTTATTAATCCAATTTTTTTTTTTTTTTTTTTATATATATAAATTGTATCGACAGCTTCAACTATATATGCGTATATTGACTTCATATTTTCTAGCGAAGTAATATCGATTTAGCTATTGTTTTATGGAAAATACTTAATCTCTAGCCCCATTTTAGAGAATAGGAATTAAGAAATAAGAATAAGATAAAAACAACATAGAGTTAAAAAATAATATAAAAGGGAAAATTATATATATATATATATATATATATATATATATTTATAATAACTCTGATAATTCAACCTGAGTATGGTAATGGGTTATTTAATTTGTCATTATATTCTTTATAGTTAAAAACTTGCGAGAAGACAACAAATTAAACTTCAACCGATCATATTGACATGACTTCACTTATTTACTTTCAACCAGAAATATCGACAGAGGAAGTGTAAATGCATCAAATTATATCCTTAATGGCATGGTATACTAATAATAATCGGCTACTATTAAAATAAATAAGAAAGATCCAATCAAAACAATGGATCCATTAGAGACAAGTTGCAGCAACGATTTTAATTGTCCTTAAGTTGATACTAAAGATTTTCTGACAAAGTGGAGTACGAACACATTTTTAAACCTACTTTTTGTAAAATTTGATTGATTTTTAAAGAAATTTTAAAAAAAGTTTTTTTTTTCTAAAACAACTCCTACAAAATATGAAAGAATTTAATCACCATCAGATATTTTGAAGATTTCTTGATATTATTAATTACATATACATACATATATATACAATTATGAAATTTGGAACATTATTACTTTGATCATTCATAGAGAATATATATATATATATATATATATATATATATAATTGTATATATAATTATATTTATTTACTCTCAACTACTAGTTGTAAATCCAAATTAATTATA